CCGCACCTTGTTATGCATCCACAGATGCATCTCAAGCAGGTCCAAAGAGGTGATCCTCCCCCTCTACGCGGCACTGGTCAGACTGCAGTTGGAGTACTGCGTCCAGTTCTGGGCCCTGCACTTCAAGAGGGATGTGGACAGCATGGAGAGGGTCCAGAGGAGGGCCACTCGCATGATCAGGGGACTGCAGGGCAGGCCCTATGAAGAGAGACTATGGGACCTGAACCTGTTCAGCCTCCACAAGAGAAGGCTGACGGGGGATCTTGTGGCCTGTTACAAACTGGTCAGGGGGAATCAGAAGGCATTGGGGGAGTCACTGTTCCCCCGAGCACAGCCAGGAGCGACCAGGAACAACGGTCACAAGCTAGCAGAGGGTAGATTTAGGTTAGACATCAGAAGACGCTATTTCACGGTCAGGGCAGCTAGGGTCTGGAACCAACTTCCAAGGGAGGTGGTGCAGGCTCCTACCCTGGGGGTTTTTAAGAAAAGGTTAGATGAAACCTTGCTGGGGTTGTTTGACTCCAGTACTCTTTCCTGCCATGGCAGGGGGTCGGACTAGATGATCTTCTCAGGTCCCTTCTGACCCTAGAAACTATGAAACAACTTGTGAACAGGATTGATGGTGTCTTTGCTTCTGGTTTGATGAGACTGCTTGCTCTGCCTCCCCTGAGACAACTCGAACTCTAATTTTCAGAGCAGTATTAAACAGACATTGAAAGAAAACATGCATCTTCCAATGTCTTCTTCATGGTACATTCTTTTCAAAAGGAAGAATGAAATAGCCACAGGTAATGAAACTGAGCACAAGTGAGCCTTGACCAGACCTACCATTCTGTAGCTACCCATGGTCCCATAGTCAGATAAACCCAGCTCACTCATGAACTCTGCTCTGAGTCACCGTTTGGATTGAGTCAATTTGTTTTAAGGAGATTTACATTATTTTATAGTTTATGAAAAGTTAATTTCACTTGCTGCAGCTCAGCAATAGTATATAGTTATATCAATGGTATTACTTTAGATGTCCTTAATGAATGAGATCTTCAGCTGATGTAGACTAGCATAGCTTTGAGCATCAAGCTCAATATATTCAACAATTAAGGATGACCAGGAAAGGAAATTTAAAATACCAGTGTTTAATTCAGTCTGTTACTGCTTATTTGTAGACAGAAAACAGGAGTACCCTGTGGTTCAGTGGTAGCATCCTTGTCTACTACACAGGAGATGTGAGTTTGATTCCCAGGTACTTATACAACTACAGCCATGGAGGCACTAAATGTCTGGTCTTTGGATTCCATCTCAGTGCCCTAAAGGGAAAATGAAAGGTCTGGGCAGTCTCTACTTCTCCAAAAATTCCTGCCTAGGCATATGCATTGAAGGTCTGGGTGACCCTCATGCATACACCATGATCCAGGAGGATTGATGGTTGTTATACAGAAGGCAGGCATATCATTCTTTGTGTATTTTTTCTTGGATTTGGAAGTATCAGGAATGTCAAGTTGAGTCTTCCCTATTTGTGTTGCAGGCATAAGGGCATATTGGAAGCTTTTACAAAGTGTAATTGAAAGCACGTGGTACTGAATCTTTAAATGAGCTGTGTTTTCTATCAAATGATTATTAGCTGTGGAAGAAAAATGCCCAAATATCCACTATTCAGCTCACTTGGACAGATGAAAACAGTGCAAAAAAGAGCAGACACCTCATTAGTTTTCCTATGCAGGCTACCTTGTGGATATATTCTTTATACAGTTTTGTTACATACTTACCTTTGTAAATAAATCCCCAAGGTGCCACTTCATGCCATGCTGTGAGAACACTTCATTCATTGCTTGAATCATCCTTGATCCAATTATTTTGTTACGCAAAGAAATATAACCTATAGACAGGCAAAAGAGAATGAGTTTTCAACTTTATTCTATTTTTTAAATGAATGTTAACTGTCAAATGCAGCTTATGAATTTTCTAAAATATTGCCTGGTCTCTTAAAAGATAAAGGGGAAAGCTTCCCCATAGCCATGTAAATGTCATCTGAATTGTGGCTCAGTGACTCTTGCAGTGAACTTGACATCACAGAGGGTATGTAGGAAAGAGGCAAGGAACTGGCAGAATACAGCTCTATCCATCCAATCAAGTTGGACTGGCAATCTGCATTTGTGTATTTTATTTTCCACAAGAAAGTAATGGCATAAAGTAGCATTTTCCTGCTAAGCGTGTGCTCTATTTATATATGCACAGTTAAGCAATTCCATAACTTAAAATAGGAACTTAATGAGATTTGCAGAAGCACCTATATGTCTAGTTCCCCAATGTAGCTCTACTGGTATGATGCACACGTCTGCACACACTTCTGGCTTTTTTGGTTTAGTTAACATGCACTGCTAAATATCATGAGCAAAAAACTTAAAAGCACATTCATACCACACTAAGAGTTCACACAGAGTGTTATATGGTTATGTTAGTTGAATTTCATACCTTACCTATACCAGTATAATTCTTCATATAGGAAGGATATAGAGAAAAGAAGCACAATAATTATACATGGATAATAATAAATGTCTATGCTGACAGAAGTCAATTTGTGTTAACAAAACTTTCCAGAATCAAAGCACAGTTGAGAAAGTCCTTATAAAAGTGGTCAGTATATAGACATTGGTTTCAAGATATGTAGCACAGCTGTAAATAGAGTAACTCTGTGACAAATACAAAAGAATTGCATAGACTGATTTCAGCATGAAGTTTAAAATAACTGTAACCCCTTTAGCACTTGGATTCAGACTTGGGAGAGAAAACAGTAAAAACAAGGGAAGGCAAACAATGGTGGGAAAATTATATGATGTAATGGATAAAAAAATATAAGATTGGCTCGGAGCACCTACAATTCCCTGGGATCTCAGTGCATCCCACAAGGCACTGCTGAATTTCCCAAAGCACACTGGGACAGATGGTGGTATAGAAACCACTGGGTGTCTACCTATGGACATGCTGCCTTTAAACAACATAACTGCATGTGCTGTGGCAGCACACAGTACGACTGGCTGCTGTAAGTCAATTCCAACTTTTACTGACAAAACTTCTTAGCATTTATATAACTTGCAACAGGGGCTGGATGAGAAGGACTCATAAAGATCTCTCTGTCTTTTCGGGGGGCTATTTCCCAGCCACTGTCATTCACAATTTAGGGGTACAGATACCGTATTGTAGATGTGGTGTAAAATCTTGAGGCAGGACATGCAGAGCCAGATTTGGGCTAAACTCTTACCCTTCTGAGTGGAATATACAATATAGTAATCGCTAGTTGTTGGTAGCCTCATGGAATCCATCATGTCATCAGATTCCTGGAAAGCATTGTCCATTTGTTCAACTCCTTCATCTAGGCTTCCTGTTTTTTATGATAAAGCAATATGTTTAAGCATATTGTAATGTGACAGTCTACTATGGTGCAAAAGGTTTCACAAACAAATAATATATCAATAATTAGGGCTGTCAATTAATTGCAGTTAATTTGTGCAATTAACAGAATAATCAGTTCTTATGTTAATTTTTTTAACACATTAGTCGCGCACACAGTTTTGGAGCCTGCATCTGGGCTCCACTCCACTGCCCTTGGGCTGGCCAGTGAGTAGCAGTGGCAGTGCAGAGGACCAAAGGGCAGCCCAGCATAGGCTCCAGACATCTGCAGCAGAGGGTGGCAAACGTGCAGGCACAGGCACAGATGAGCAGCCACAGCCTGCACATGGCCAGAAACATAGCCCAGCTGCATGTAGAGAACTGCCCAGCAGGCAAGTTGGTGGAGGGGAGGAAAGGGGA